GGGATGGCGCCTGGGGTGGGGGCTTCTGTGTGGGAGCTCGAGGGAGGCGAATATCTGTGAGCTTTGGGGATAGGGGCAGTTGTGTCCTTGGCCTTTGCTGGGTGGGTGAGGGCGGGCAGGTCTTTGGCTTTGAGGGGTGGGTTCGGGCGTGTCTGGGGGCCGTAGGAGACCGGTTCGGGCTTTGCCAGTGGGCTTGGAGTGGGTGGGGTAGGAGGCGAGTGTGGGAGGGGGACCCAGTCATCCTGTCTGGCCTTTGGAGGATGGAGGGGCGCATGTCCTTTTGAGGACTAGGAGATGTGTTGGATGGGGCTTTTGACGGGCATGGTTGTGATGTTTTAGGGAATATCTAGAAGGTGACAGGCGAGGGGAAAGGACTCAGTCCAGGGAATTGAGAACTGTGACATGCACCCAGGGTTCCAGACACCCTGGTGGCCGCCCCCTCCCCGCCGTGTTTAGGCTTGGGCACCGGGGAGGGCCATCTCACCCGAAGCTGCCCTCCCAGGTTTCCATGGCAACTGACAGCCTAGTGCCGGCGTTTTCTCAGAGCCTGCGGGGAGCGAGTTGGCGCTGGAAGGCTGCTCACCCTTCCCTCTCCCCAGTAGCGGTACCTTTGTGCGTGCGAGTGCAGACTGCTCACGTTCTGCCTGAGCGGGGGTTCTTGACAGCTGGGTTTCCACCAGCCCTGCGAAGCATATGCAAAATTTTGCACATTTTTCTGGAGACAGGCTCTGTACATTCCCTTCTATTCTCAAAGGGCTCCAACAAGACAGGTCTACGGTCTAGACTGTCTTAGTCTGAAAACAGCCTTCCTCTCCCCATGTCTTGTCTTTCCAACCGGGGTGGCTTAGTGTAGTGGAGCTTGAATGTCTAAGGCTAATATTCAGAGTTTGGTTTAGTCAGAGTTAACGTTTGCATTTAAAACACATTACCCGTTTCCTTATTTTTCATTTCCCAGGAAACACTGGCAAACTTGGAGAGACAGATCTATGCTTTTGAAGGAAGCTACCTGGAAGACACTCAGATGTATGGCAATATTATTCGTGGCTGGGATCGGTATCTGACCAACCAGAAGTGAGTGTCAGAAGCCTGTGGTGTTGGTATTGTGCCCTAGTAATTGTTTTTTGGACTTTCTGTGTTCTTGCTAGCAACTTTGCAGGGAGGCAGTAGTAAAGTGGTGGTGTGGAAAGCCGTCCGGGGTTCCACTTGGACTCTGGCTCAGCCTCTGCCCCACTGAGTAATTGTGGGCAAATCCTACATCTGGGAAATAGGGAAAGTCGGGCCGGTGGTACAGGGTTGTGTGAGGCGTTAAAGTACAGCAGATGACAGTACCAGACATACCACTTTGTTAGTGTTTTCCATTTTTTAATTAGTCGTGAGTTTGACCTTTACAATATTTGCCACAGCTGTGTGCTAACCGTACCACAATTTATTTAGTAATAACTATTCTTGAAAACTGTCTAAGCTTTTTGAAAATTTTCAAATTTGGAACACTTCAAGTTGAAATAGTACTGTGCACACTTGATACCCTTCCCTTGCCTTCATCAATTGTTACCATGTAGCCACATTTGCTTTCTTTCTAATGTATATAAATATACACACACCTATATCTGTACTTAAAATTTTTAGAGGCACCTGGGTGGCTCAATCAGTTAAGCATCCAGCTCTTGATTTCGGCTCAGGTTATGATCTCAGGGTCATGGGATCGAGCCCCATGTTGGGCTCTGTGCTGGGCATGGAGCCTGCTTAAGATTCTCTCTGTCTCTCTCTCTGCCCTTCCCCCTCCTCTCTAAAATTTTTTTTTTTAATTTTGATATAATTACAGATACATAGGAAGTTGCAGCAAATTAGAGGGGTCCAATGTACCCTTCACCCAGTCTTCCCCAATAGTTGGATTTTATGTAACTGTAGTAGAATATCAAACTCAGGAAACTGACATTGGTACAATGTGTATGTGTAGTTCTGTCACTGTGTGTAGATTCCTGTAAGCACCACTGCAATCAAGATACAGAAGTATTTTATCACCACAAAGATCTTCCGCCTGCTACCCCTTTGTAGCTATATCTTCCCTTTCCCCCACTTTTTTTTTTGCTAATCATTTAAGTAGATAGCATGACACTTTGCCCATAATTATGTCAGCAGTTACCTCCTACGAACAATTATCACACATAGAGAATTAGCATTATACTCATAGTATCATCTACTATAGTCTTTATTTCAAATTCCCCTAATTGTCCCCAACATGCTTTGCTGCCTTGTTTTGATCCATTCAGTGTTCATGTATTGTATTTGGCTGTTATGTCTCTTTCCTCTCTTCATTTAGGAGAGTCTCCTACCCTTTTTGGTGGTGAAGTTGTTCATGACATTGTCTTGTGGAATGCCTCAATTCCAGATTTTTCTTTTTGTGACCTCATGAGAGATCCTTTAAGGATTTTTGGAAAAAATCTTACATAAGTGATTTGTATGCCTGGTATGTTGTTTACCTCTATTATACTGGGAGGCACATAATGTCATATTGTTCCATTTATTGGTATGAAGTTTGAGCATATGATTTCTCCCTTGTAAAAATTCATTTTTTTCTCTTTGTAATTGGAGGCTATACTTTTAGACAGTGTGAATATATTGCTCCTCCAAATTTCTATTCAGTGGTTTTAATATCCATTGTTGATTTTTACCTGACTCTCTTAATGTACTGCTGATTCTGATCCTTGTACATGGATTACTGGCATTTGGAAAGAAGAATCTTCCCTTCATATCTTCTCTCTCTTTCGTTCTCTATCTCTGGCCCTCTCTCTCTCTCTCTCTTTTTTTTTTTAAAGATTTTATTTATTTATTTGACACAGAGACAGTGAGAGCAGGAACACAAGCAGGGGGAGAGGGAGAAGCAGGCTTCCTGCTGAGCAGGGAGCCCGATGCGGGGCTCCATCCCAGGACTCTGGGATCATGACCGGAGACGAAGGCAGACGCTTAATGACTGAGCCACCCAGGTGCCCTCTGGCCCTCTTTAGTATCATTAGAGACCAATGGATTTAAAAAAAAAAAAAAAAATCAGTGTTGGAATCTAATGCTGTCACTTTTTTATTTATAGAGGCTTATTTTTTACTATGAACTTATTGAAATATATACAGAGAAGTGCATACATCATAAACATACAGCTTAGTGACCAAGCAAACACACCCATCATTATTCTTTTCAGTGCTTGGTTTGCCCCATATGTGGACAGAGGGAGCCTCCTCGTGCTGATTCCATTGTCTTTTTGACTTGACCCTTCAGTCTTCGAGCACTTTGTTGCTTTCTGTACCAACAAGGTGTCTTAGACTCACCTTGTCCTTTTCTTATCCCAGAACTAATACCAGCCATTTCCTTAAGGAACCCTGGTTTGTTCTTTAAATTTTTTTTTAAAGGTTTTATTTTTTTATTTTTTAAAGATTTTATTTATTTATTTGACAGAGAGAGACACAGCAAGAGAGGAAACACAAGCAGGGGGAGTGGAAGAGGGAGAAGCAGGCTTCCCGCCAAGCAGGGAGCCCGATGCGGGGCTCGATCCCAGGACTCTGGGATATGACCTGAGCCGAAGGCAGACGCTTAACGACTGAGCCACCCAGGCGCCCCTAAGGATTTTATTTTTTTAAGTAATCTCTAAAGCCAGTGTGGGGCTCAAACTCAAAACCCCGAGATCAAGAGTCGCATGTTTCACTGAGCCAGCCAGGCGCCCCGTGTTCATTAAATTTTTTCAGTTAAGCTTACTTGACAGAAACATTTCATATCACTAGTCTGTGCTAGTTGTTTTTAATAATGAGTATCAAAATAAATACATATTAAAATGGCAGTGACTGTGAACTAACTAATGTCCCATAGTGGAGCACCTGCCATGTATTGGAAACCGTTGCTGTCTGTGTAGGCGTTCAGCGTAAAGGTCGTTTTGGTCAATCCAAACGGTATGGAGGTATTTTCGTGTGAAAGTTGGTAATTTAAAAAAAGAGAGACAATGAGAGAGTTCCTTACATGTGTCCTGGGCCATCCTCAGCTTGAGCCATAGATACAGCTTGGTGTTTATGAGTTTCTTGTGTGTGTTTTAGAAACTCCAATAGCAAAAACGATCGAAGGAACCGGAAGTTTAAGGAAGCTGAGCGGCTCTTCAGTAAATCCTCAGTTACTTCAGCAGCTGTAAGTGAGGTTGGGGGAATCTTTCTGTGGCCCATCGTGGAGGAACTCCTCAGTTAAATTTCTGCGAGTTTTCTCTTTCCCTGCTGTCTGAGTGTTCTCCGGAGGTCTGTGATAATTTTTCTAGTAACGGGTGTTTTTTTTCTTTTAGGCAGTAAGTGCATTGGCAGGAGTTCAGGATCAGCTCATTGAAAAGAGTAAGTTTATTTTTTTACTTTTTTATTACTTTATTTTTAAGCTACAGTAGCCCTTGTATTTAACTCCTATCCAACCTAGAAGTTAGGAACCCTTTTGAGTCTCCTTAATCATGTCTTTTTATCCTCTTTTTTTTTTTTTTTTGAGGAAAAAACTACCATGTCCTTCCTGCCTCTTCTGTCATGCAGAGCTTGACTCTAGCTGCTGAAAGACGTTGCTGATAAGTGTCAGGGAGGGTTTTTTGTTTGTGTGTGTGTGTTTTTTTTAATTTAAAAAGAAAACCTTTTATCATGGAAAATTTCAGACATATCTGATAAATCTCCATGTCCCCAATTTAATAATTCTTAGGAAAATCTGATCCTGTGAACAGAATGTACCTGTGTGTTCTTAAATATAAAACACAGAGTAGATAGTATTTACTTTGTTAAGAAATTGTATCATTCTCGGTAGGTAAGCCATATAGTCTAATTCTGTTCTAATGTCTAGTGATGGGATATAGATCTGTACATTTATCTTTCTGAGTCAGACTTTATGTAGCTGTCTGTATTGGACACTCTTCCTGTGCACTGGGTCACTCTAAAACATAACCTGCTTTTTGTGCTGTGGCTATCTACTTCTTTCAGATGGTATATTTTGTGGGATCCAGTTTTTGTGTTTGCATTGGGCCAGTGTTGAGAAAGAGGGATTTTGGTAGTTTGGGAATTAGAACTACTCAGTGACTTTGATTATTATCTCTGTGTACAGATTTCTAAATATCTAGAAAATTCTAGAAAATGTCTTCTAGTCATTTCCGCTCAGATATTCATGCTCAAACATTTTATCTAAAACTGAACTGTTCTGTTTCCTTCAAAACTTGTCTGCTCAGTTTTTCTGTTATAGTACTTCTTTTCTCCCTCATTCGAAACTCTGTAGGCATCTTTGACTCCTTTCTGCCAACCTAATCAATTATACCAAGTCCTTTTGATTTTTCTTTTACTATGGCTTAAATAAGTTAAATCTTATTTCTTTTCAATTAATTGCCACTTGTAGAATGTAGAGCTAGTATTATCTGCTTTCTGAGGTCATAAGACTGGTTAAGGAACACCCTGGACCTCACTTCTGTGAGTTGAGATGGAATGATGTCTGACTCCTCAGTTTTCACAAAAGCCTATAATCCTCCTCCTGGCTTGGTGGATGGTTCAGCATCTGGCTTTGTACTTAACTAGCCACCCAGAATGGCTGCACCTAGGTACCCGTGAGGCAAGGAGTCTTAAAGCCACAGCTTGCAGAAGCTTGGCTGAGACAAGCACTTACGTATTAAAGGTTTTCTGAAGCAGGTGTAGGCCATCCATTCCCGAGATCTTCCCCTTGAATTGAGTCACATCCATGGAATTGTCATATTGATATTTCTTGGTCTTTCCTATAAAGTTGTATTTGATGAATTATATTCTGGTCCTGTTAAATGTGCTACTGTATTTATTGTAAGAGAATGTTGCAAATGTTTACTATCATTACTAATTATGATTTTTAGGAATAGTTGTTTTTCCTGAGGGGAGCCTGGGTGGCTCTCTTGGTTGAGCCTCTGGCTCTTGATTTTGGCTCAGGTCATGATCTCAGGGTAGTAGATTGAGCCCCATGTTGGGTGCTCCACTCAGCTGGGAGTCTGCTTCTCTCCCTCTCCTCTCCCTCTGCCCCTCCCCCGTCCCTGCTTGCACACGTGCACTCTCTCCTTCTCTCTCAAATAAATAAATCTTAAAAAAAGGAATATTTGTTTTCCTTGAACAGCTAGTTGGTTTTTACTGAATATCTGATAATGGACTGTTTCTTTGTATAGGTGCTAAAAGGTTTAGTGGTTCTCTAGAAAGCGAGTATGAATTTATAGCGTGCATTTTGGGAATGAATCTTAGCGTTGCACCCAGCTTACTTAAGTCTTCTATTCCTCTTTGTTTTACTTGTCTCATTTTAAATTTATTTTATTGGATTTTATTATATGAATCTTGGTAAACTGCTTTGAATTCTTTTTAGAATAGAGAATTACATAGTGAAGTTTATCAGTTCAAATGGTCAGAGCCCTTTTGAAGTAATTCTGTTGCATTCTGTCCGTTCTGTCTCACCACCTGTCATTACCATTTCCTCCTGCTGTTCTTTTTTTTAGAGGGGTGTGCAGAGGGAGAGAGAATCTCAAGCAGACTCCCTGATGAGTGCAGAGTCCAATGTGGGGCTCCATCTCAGAACTCTGAGATCATGACCTGAGCCAAAATCAAGGGTTGGATGCTTAACTGACTGAGCGTCCTGGGCACCCCTCTTCCTGCTATTTTTTTTTTTTTTTAAGATTTTATTTATTTATTTGACAGAGCACAAGTAGGTAGAGCGACAGACAGGGAGAGGGAGAAGCAGGCTCCCTGCTGGGCAGAGGTTCCCCATGTGGGGCTCGATCCCAGGACCCTGGGATCATGACCTGAGCTGAAGGGAAATGCTTAACTGACTGAGCCACCTAGGAGCCCCTCTTCCTGCTATTTTTAAGAGTTTATTTTCATCTTGATTTTCTGCAGTCAACTATAATGTGTCTAAGTATGAATTTCTTTGTAATTATCTGGCTTGGTTTCATTGGACTTCTTGAAATGGTGGCTTAGTAATTTTCATCAGTTCTGGAAAATTCCCAGCTATTACTCTTAAGATACTGCATTTGCTCTGAGCTCTGTCCCATCTCTTCTCCTACTCTGCTTACATGTATGTTAAACTTTCTCATTGTATTCTTTATGTCTTTTATTAGCCCTTCCGTGTCTTCTGTCTTTGCCTCTGGGCCACCTGACAGTTCACTAAATCTCTTTTCAGTTGAGTCTGACTTGCTGTTAAACCTTTCCTTGATTTAAAAAATTTTTATTACATTTTTAATTTCCAGAAATTCCACTTAATTATTTCTAAAATCTGCTATGTAATTTTTCAGTAGCTTTCCCTGCAATTATTATTAAACTTTCTTTTACTTCTTTAAGCAGAGTAAGCCCGGTTGTTGTATATTCTGTGTTTAATTTCAACCTCTGAAGTCCTTAAAGACGTGTTTCTGTTGTGTGTTGCTTCTTCTGGTTATTACTCATGAAGTCTAATTTCCCTGTGTGCCTGGTTTTTTTGACTGTGTAGTGCTCATTGTAACCTCAAGTATTTATAGAATAATGTGAGGGGGGAAGATGAAGGTGCCATCTTCTGAAGACTTAATGTTTTCTTCTGCTGGGTGTTTAGACCTCTTTAAACCAAGTTCAGGGTCCCTGAAAGACCCAGGTGATTCAAACCAAGCTTTAATTCCATCAGAGGAATGGTCTGCTTCACCTTTTGCTCTTTATCCTTTGTACAGAATCTCTCCAATGTCTCAGAATTTCTGTATAACATTCTGCAGAATGACTCCTGGTTCTTGATTTTTGATGGTGATGAAGTACACATTCTTTTCTCTTAGAATTTGGAGTTACACATTCTTAGATCTCAAAGGATTTTGGACTTCAAACCATTCTGAAAATTTTCTTTAAAAATGCATTACTTTCTGCTTTCTTTGGCTTACGTACCCAAACTAGAATGATAGAGTGGATTAGCACGGTCCCCAAAGGGGAATTTTATGCAAATTAGTGAAGCATTGTGTGTTTTTGTAAAAAGAATAAAAACAAACCGGCAGATTTTATCCAGTTTCCTTTAAAAGATCAACCTAGTTTCTACTGTTTGTTTTATCAGACTTACCTGAAACTTTCATCAAACCAGATCTTTCCTCAGCATTTATATCATTCCAGTGGATAAGTAAATGGCTGCATGAAGCATTGTTGGATATCTTTCTTTCCTCCTTTAAAGTTTTTGTGCTGATCAAAGTTAGTGCTTTGGCACGATTCAATAGGCGTTTTTTGTTTTGTGTTTAAATAAGTAGAGTGTCTCATTTGTCGTTGTATTATACTTAATCAAAATCTGGCATTCTTTACTCTAAAAACAAGTTTCTTACTTACATGTCAGTGAGAAATGAACTTAGGTGTCTTTTCCTGGTGACAGCATCATAGGGTTGACAGACTCGCTGCTGCCCTTTGGGGTGTTGTAACCCACCTCTTTTGCTCTCACTCCTCTCCTGCTTTCATGAACCAAGAAGAGACAATTATTAGGGTGCCTGGGTGGCTCAGTCGGTTAAATGTCTGCTTTCAGCTCGGGTCATGATCCTGGAATCTCAGGATCGAGCCCTGCCTGCGTCAGGCTCCCTGCTCAGCAGGGAGTCTGCTTCTCCCTCTGACCCTCCTTCCTCTTGTGCTCTCTCTCTCTCACTCTCTCTCAAATAAATAAATAAAATCTAAAAAAAAAAAAAGACAGTTATTCCTACTTTGTGGTCAAACTTTGTATTTTAACAGTGTTTAGTCTCCCTGGCTACAGTCCCTCTTATAAACCACTTCTAGCCCAATAATCCTAAAACATGGGTTTGTACAGAGAACTCAGGAAACATTCATTGTTTGATATCACTTCTCTGTTTAGAAATACTCGATGACTTTGCCTTATGTCCTGTTAGCAACTATTTTATGGCAAATTGTCTACTGTTTAGAATTTGACTTGCATGTTTGTAGATCTCAAGGATATTGAGACTTGAACACTTACTGTGTTCTAGATACTACTCAGCCACTTGCATTTATCTCATTTATTCCTTAAAGCTACTTCTTGAGGGATAGGTACAGGTTATAGGCTTCTTGAAAGTAGGGAACATTGCCGTAGCTCCAGTGTCGACCCCAATGCCTTGTCTATAAGGGATATTCAGTGTAAAGAAAGATTTCCCATTTTACAGATGGAGAAACAGGGTCTGAAAGGCTAAGCAACAAGTCAGATCTTTTAACCATCTCACACTGTCTCCGTAGGTCACATCCCTTAATCTGACACTCACGGCTCTTCTTACCCTGTCGTGCTATTTCATCTCTCATTTCTCAAGCCATCTGCTTAAGAGATGTTGTTTGATTCATTTGTCCCAAATGTACTTTGTGTTTTCTCTCTGCACTTTTGCTTGTGCTGTCTTTTGTACTTATTTTG